GTCTTTATTGTATTCATTATCGTTAATCAATGTAATCTCATTAAGATGATTGCTAAAAAAATAACATTGATCCTACACATGTCTTTATTGTATTCATTATCGTTAATCAATGTAATCTCATTAAGATGATTGCTAATCAATAAACATTGATCCTACACATGTCTTTATTGTATTCATTATCATTAATCAATGTAATCTCATTAACATGATTGCTAATCAATAAACATTGATCCTACACATGTCTTTATAGTATTCATTATCGTTAATCAATGTAATCTCATTAAGATGATTGCTAATCAATAAACATTGATCCTACACATGTCTTTATTGTATTCATTATCGAATCTCATTAAGATGATTGCTAATCAATAAACATTGATCCTACACATGTCTTTATTGTATTCATTATCGTTAATCAATGTAATCTCATTAAGATGATTGCTAATCAATAAACATTGATCCTACACATGCCTTTATTGTCATTACATGATTTCCATCGTTAATAATTGTAATCTCATTAAGCTGATTAGTAATCAATAACCATAAAATCAAATATTAGAAAATATTCAATTTTAATAGACCTTTGCAGTGTGTCAATAAAAAATAACATTGATCCTACACATGTCTTTATTGTATTCATTATCGTTAATCAATGTAATCTCATTAAGATGATTGCTAATCAATAAATATTGATCCTACACATGTCTTTATTGTATTCATTATCGTTAATCAATGTAATCTCATTAAGATGATTGCTAATCAATAAACATTGATCCTACACATGTCTTTATTGTATTCATTATCGTTAATCAATGTAATCTCATTAAGATGATTGCTAATCAATAAACATTGATCCTACACATGTCTTTATTGTCATTACATCATTTCCATCGTTAATCAATGTAATCTCATTAAGCTGATTAGTAATCAATAAACATAAAATCAATAAACAAAGAGCCACAAAATTTGAGATGAATAAAATCAGACCTACAAATTTCTTTTTTTAAATTAATGAAAAAGAAAACAGTAATTGCAGATAAAACACAAGAATAAAAATGTAATGTAGTGATCACAAAATAAAAGGCCAATAAATATAAATGTCCACAAAAATAAAAACTTGGATAAAACAAAGAAGACAAATATTTAAACAAATTTTAGCAAATATCAAAAAGTCTCCATAATATTTTTTATGTCATAATTTTGTTAACCAATACAGAACCCCTCAAAACCTAAAGGAAGCCTTCTACATTGTCATGAAAAGGACACATACTCTGGTGTGACTACTAATAGTGGATTTAAATCAAAGAAATGTAAAGCAGATACAACCACAGTTAGTATGTACCTATCAATTTTTTACTTGGACAATGTTCCACATATTTTGAAATACTGCTGATAGTTTAAATACTGTAGACGCTTAAACCCGTATGGACATTATTAGATAATATTTTACAAATTTACAGATCTACGACTCTGATGATGCTCGCAAGCATCTTCGCAGGAACAACAGACGTTCCCTAAGGCTTGTCATTGACATGCATTCTAGTTGTGCTCTTGGGGCTACAGGAAGGACGGCTAGCAACCACCAAGTCCATCCGGGGCCATCAGGTGATTCTAGCGGGTTTTCCGGTAACGCTGGCATTCCTCCGTAGTGTTTAGAGATCCGTGAACGAAAGACGGACACTGTATACCGACTGATGTAATGTGTTCAGTTGATTAATGTCATCCTCTACAAGAAAGAAATTGATAAAAAGTTGGATAAGCTACGTATGAACAAATTTAACATGGCAATGTTTAATGTATGTGAAAATTTAGTACGAGAACATAATGCTGAGGAAATAAAGGAGCAAATAATTAGAAAGTCTTCATTTAAAGTGTATTCTCAAATTAAAACACAACAGCTGGGTTGTGAATGTTATATAATGGTCAAACTTGATTTTCACAGTTTTTTCCTGAAATTCAATACCAGATCAAATACTGTTCCATTAACATCTCAAACCCACTATTGGTTTACTGATCATGACATCACATGCACATTATGTACAAAGGGAGAAGAGGATATGGCACTTGTTTATCTCAGGAAATCTTGAAATCAAGCTGTGAATGGCATTGGGTAATATTGGATAAGTACTGCAAAGCATATATTAAGAGTGTGGCGATCACATAACCTACTTTTAAGAACAATCTGAGTCAGAATATACAGCATTGCATGATTTTAATCTTAAGTCTTATTCTTAGCACTTTCAAACCATTTTAAACACCCTATATAAAAAATCTTTCTTAAACGTCCATTATTTAGTTTATATATGTATACGTTTTCCCCATATTGATATTTTTGTCTTGTTTTTTTTTGTCCATATTTTTTTTCTTAAAAAATCTGTAGTGTACAAAAGACAATTTTCTGATGTATCTTAAATGTATATTGGACAAAATAAATGATGTGGATAGCATTCATTCTACCAATTTAATGTACAGATTCTGGTAAATTTTAAAGTCGACTTAATCCAAATTTTATCCTTTTGCACATTTTACCGATTCCTGTTTTACTTGTATTTTAATAATTTTGAATGGTGTTAAATGCTAATTTCTCTGTACATTTTATTGAATTGTCTTTTAAGCTGTCTTATTTCTGTATACATGCGTTGTTTTTGTCCGTGGTTTTATAGTTTTATTGTGACATGATGTGTGCCACTGATTCAAAAGTGTAGTTTTCAAGTAAAGTTATTATTATATATTATTATGAATGTCAAAGTTCAATGTAAAATTTATTCATCCAAAAATGAACATTCATCAACAATTCTAATACAATAAATGGTGCAATGACGAAGTCTCTTACAATTGAGGATTAAGGAGTTCAGTTATTTAGTCATGAGAAGACTATTTGAATGTAAACCTACATACCTTGTACAGTGTCATCTTCAATAAACCTGACATTGGCTGTGTTGTACCCTTCACGCATTCCCCGAATCAACACTTTGAATCACTTCCCCCCACCCCCCACGCTTCTGATGATTGACCTTCCATCTGGCAATGTTTGCACTTCTTCAATTTTTAGCATGCAACCATAATCAGAAAATCTAGGAGAAATGGAAAATTAAATTTAGTTTTAAATATTTAATATCTATTTTTTATCACATTATCCTTATCAAATAAGGTAGTTTTTTTTCAACTTACAGCCATGTTTATTTATTGCTAATATATATATTTTTTTCATATTTAAAATTGCTCTATCATGGCATAACATCACATATTGGATGGCATTTTAGTAATACATCTTGTATTTACAATTTCTAGTGTTTAGCACAGCCAACAAACCAATCAAGAACTTGGGGCATGCACAGTAGTGCAAAATAAAGGCTAGAGACACCTGGCTGGGGCGCCTTCTGGCTCTAGCGAAGGAAACCTGACTGGGGCTTCATCAGGTTCTATCGAAGGCACCTGGCTGGGGGTTCTTCAGATTTTAGCAAAGGCACCTGGCTGGGGGTTCTAGTGAAGGCACTTGTCTGAAGATTCTTTGGGTTCTACCGAAGGAAAGAACCAACAGATTAGAGGAAATTGAGGCACCAAGAGTGCCTCAATGACCTCCAAAGACCTGATACTTGCCAATGGGACATGGAACTAATGGTGTTAATGCTGACTCATGCAAAAAATTTCCCGACAAGAAGTGTGACATGTCCATCAGAGGGGTCCAAACTAAGGGGCTGACGAAGCCTTGGTCAACGGCGGGGAATAAAGAATCACTGGTAGGGTTAACAGCGAGAGTTTTTATGGATTAGTGTGGCCCAAATTGTGCTTTTAGACCACAATATTAGGGATTGGCAGTCAGAATAACATTATTTGGATAGAAAAATTATTATTTTTAAAAATTCTTTATCCGATGACCTAGCCATGCATCGGAAGATGGGGAATTCAGGCCTGTCAGACGGGGGAAATGCCCTCATTGCCCCCGCCCTTGCGCACCACTGCTGATGAGAATAATGATGGCACAGTTTTAATCAAACATCAAGATTCTTACCCCGTAATTCTTCCATTTCTTCCGCATGGATCTCCTCTTGTTCGTGAAACTTTTTCTTAAAGTACTGTTTTATTATCTTTTGTATCAGAACATTGACTGAAAATTTCTTGCTTGCTAAATACTGTAAAAGAAATAAAAATATTGTCTTTGGTTTGATTCATGTAGTATAATTTCGCTCCTCTAATAAATTAACCTGGTATTAACTTTAATAAATAAACCTAATAACAAATGAAAATTTTAATTTCTTTGATTTGTATTGAATTTTTAAAATAAGTATGCAACTTGATATACTGTAATAGTGTCTTTGTAATTAAATGTTGGGCATAGCATTTTAAAAATAAATTCTTAAGAACATAATGATTCTACCAACACATTTAAAATATGCTAAAAAAAAAAGACTTATTTTGGCCAGAGGCCAAATTGCATGTAAAATTACAATGGAGTTGAGGAGACATGTGATTTCCAGTCCCCCACTACCCCCACTCTGTATCTTAACTCTGTACCTACAAATGAAAATAAAGAATGTTTTCATTCCAAGGGTTTTAACACATTAACTGCCAAGACTTTTCTCCTACTTTCATCCCATACACCATGTTATCAAGGGCGCCACCATATGAAAAACATGTCATTCAACTGTAGTGAAATTACTAATTCTGTGCTCTTACGACAACTGCCAGAGAGTTTACGTGCAATACAATAGTGGAATGTTGGAGAGGTGTGGACGTGAATGCAAGTCTATGGCAGCGAACGTATTAAAGTGCTTCACATTATCACACCAGTCATCGGATCAAATACCTTATGAACAATCTGTTCCTGGGACGGATTCTATAATGTCGTGCGACTTCTCAGTTATTATGGTATAATCATTATGTATAAAAGCATTTATAAGAACACTGAAATTAGACATACCAGTAGTGGGGTCAGAATGCTTTAGTTTTTTTTAGCGCACACTGCACCAATATCAGAAAAGTCTTTTCCACACCCCTCTGTTATTACCAACTCTTTTCTCCTCTCTTTGTTACAAACAACTGTTTTCCACCCTCTCTGTTATTAGCAAGTTTTTTCCACCCCCTCTGTTATTAGCTAGTGTTTCCCCCCACCTCTGTTATAAACAGAAGATCATTTGGCAAAAGATTGACAAACCAATGTGTTCCACGGCGATCTACCTTATTATTAACATTTTTTGCGTTAGCAAGTACTTGGCAACAGCAGGCTTTTATACGCTTCAACACAGCAGTTTTGCGATGAACCATTTGATTTTAACCCACTGGATTTTTTCAGACTTTTAGTATGTTATTATGTGTACATTTCACAAACAGATTCTGGGAAATTATTTCTGTTGCAATTAGTTATGTGTTGATTATATTTTGTCTAAAGATTGACTGCTTCAAGTATGAAGCTGAGGCGGAATAAAACTGAAAATTACTCTGACTTTGGTTGAATTTTCGAATAGTTAACCATCGTTAACCCTAAAAATCCTCAATCATTGCTTGATTAACATCTGTTAAAATTAGAATTATTGAGTTTATCCAATTTACAGAAAATTTAAGTTGAAATACACCATACTTTTAAAGTTCATGTAAATGTTTTTTTTTTGTAGAAAATATTAATATACTTGGTATTTCTTGAAAAATATGTATTTGCTTAAAGGTGAAAAGAATAGCACAGTAAGTAGTGAGCATTTAGAAAAGGTGGTGCTCTTCATTTTGCCATGTTCAATTTTTGGTAAACCTATTGGTAAACTAAGCCTCATAATTCAATTAATAAAGATCAATAATAATAATAATAATAATAATAATAATAATAATAATAATAATAATAATAATAATAATAATAATATGTAATATATCTTAAATTACCTTGGAGCATACATCTGTGGAAGAGTTTTGGCCGCTGGTAATACTACTCGCACCAATTGATTGGATTACTACTTGCACTCACTCTGTCACCTGATTGGTTACTACCTGTACATCCTCTGTGTACCGATTGGTTAAGACCTACAAGTATTGCAGACGCCAGGTCATCCAATCAAGATGAGAAGACACTGAATGGTGTTGACATTCCATAAACACACCTGCCTAGAATACCATGATGCTGAATTTCCGAACATTTTTAATTTTCCGATGTTGGTAACGGAGATAAAATTTTCTGTAGTACCTGAAGAACATGTCAGTAATAAAAACAATTTTACTTAAAAAAAACCAATTCATATCATGATATCACAACCATTCAAACATCATGACTATATAGGGACACATCATGACTATTTTATATGGGCACATAAGAACTATATATGGACATATATGGACTATATATTAACAGTTTGTTTATTTTGTCCAAGAAGATTTATCTGGATAAAGCTTAATATTACTGCTGATTAATAAAAAATAAATAATGTTAAAAACATTTTTAAAATAAAAAAAAAGTTTTTAAGGCTGTGAAAGGACAAGGATAATATAAATGTTGATTAAAACAAAAGAACATCAAATACAAGAAAGTATTAAAATAGAAAACAAAAATTACTTTCATTTATTTTTATTTCATTATTAAAAAAACATTTAGCATTATAATTATTTTTGAAAGCCATTAGATAAATTGTTGACTAATTCTCAATTTCAAATGAATCAAGTTAAAACTTTACAGATAGCTGTACAAAGCAAGTTTCAATAAACGCAAAGCGTCATAATGTGATTGTTAGTTTTCATATCAGGTAGATATTATCTCCCAGCCTAAATAAAAAAGGTTGTATAATGTATGCCTCAGTGCTTATATAAGAATGAGCTGCATTATGATTTGCTGTTACATAAGTCCACTGACCTCTGACATAAGTTCATTTCGATACATTTGCGTGCTTCAAGCACGCATGATGTTGCTCCCGATCTTACGTTACCAGGGAGTGCTTGTTTGCGTTTCAATACTCAAAGCGGTCTTAGGGAAGACTGTTTTATAGCAATGGTCTTGGAGAAATGACTTTAGTAAGACCGTGATAAAGCTGGCTATATTCGAGGAGTTAAGACTACCAGTTAAGACCGTTTTATAACAATCCGCCTCTGGTTTATTCCATTCTAAATTCACAAAATATACAAAAATATTTAATTAAGTTATGAATTACTTCAATTAATACCTTCTACTTATAATGTACCATACTGTTTTCATTGCTATTTGTTCATGTGTCACAGGTCATGAACTTGTTTTATTGTACTTGGGAATGAATGATTACTTTCTTTAACAACATAATTTAACAGTCTGAAAAAATGAAATCCACATTTAGATGTTCATCCAACTGTGTTTACCAGCATTTGTCAGCCTAAATTCAGATTTGCTTCATTTAAGAACATCCAACCAATTTATAAATCATTCCAATCGCCTTCACTCGAACACATGTTACGAACACATTAAAAAATTTCTATTGACATTTTTATGGCACACTAAGCACATTTTATACTATACACTACATTACTACAGTACTACTAAGGTAAGTAAAAGCAGCAGTTTATTTAAGTTTTATAGTAACAATTAATTTAAAAAATTAAACGTTTTTTACAGGGCCCGACTATATGAACGTGGCCGCTTAAGAATGATCTGATCTTTCAAGCCATTATTTATAACAACATTTACAATATAAAATAATGCAACATAAAATCAATGATGTCTTGGTCATACAAAACAGCAAAAAATACTGTACCTTCATGTTGTTAATGCGTTTATTGCCAGACTGAGATTATGGATTTTCAGAGAATAAATAAACTCCTTCATTCTTCCTTCGCTGATTATCAGTCTGTCTTCAAGATCAGTGATCATTTCCCAGCCGTCTGTATAGTCCTTACGAGGTGTATTATACAACCCATCGATCTGCGTAACATCGGCTGGGGTCAGTACCATCCCAAATTTCATTAGCCTTTGTCTATGGGGTGTGAATGTTACTGAAATGTTTCCTTCTTTAACATCCGGGAATGATGGTATTATTTCTTTAACCTTCCACTGAAGCGCAAAATGTTTAGTTGCACTAATAGTATCACACAGAAGTCCAAGATTCTGTGAACTCAGATAGTCGTGTGTAAACAAATTGTTCAACAATTCCAACGTGTCAGTTGCTGTTGATAGCTTTCCATATTCCACCTTGTCTCTGAACAACACTTTAAGCATAGGAAGACTTCGGTTGCCGTCATACCAGCTTGAAACAACGGCCTTAAGCACACTAAAGTCAGACAATGCTATAAAATAATTAGACATTTAGGATTATTTCATTTGCATTTTAAAATGTAAAATGTATATTTTACAGGAGAGTCCTATATTTCAATACTAGAAATTATCTTCACAACTTAAACATACGGTACATATATTGGTGTAGTTGACAATTCTATTCCAAATATTATATTGAGTCCTCCATTTGCCTATGATCCTGTTATGCACTATGGACATTGCAGTAACAGATTACGGTACATATATTGGTTTCGTTGACAATTCTATTCCAAATACATATTGAGTCCTCCCTTTGCTGTTATGCACTATGGACATTACAGTAACAGAATATTATTTGAACAAGCTGTAGTATTTTAGTGATGCTCAATTACCACCACAATTTGTTCGTGCATTTTTTATTCCATAATTATCTGAATAAAGGCCTGTTTATACTTCAACGATAATGATAACGATAAAAAGATATTGTTGATATACAAAACAAAAGAAATCAAAGAGGTTTTTACACCAAACGATTCGATAACGATTTATCGTGTATATGATAACAAAATATTTTAACAAATCAAATC